CGCCTCCCTTAAGGGGACATAATGGAGGTCCCCATAAGGGAAATCATTAATTTTAGGGTGAAGACTTGGTTAAGTTTAGGGTTAGGGTTAGGCATGTGTTGGTTATGGTTAAGGTTAGGATAAGTCTCTAGGATGTGCATGCAAGTCAATGTAATGTCCCCTGAAGTGATGTATACATGGTATGTGTGTGCGTGTGCGTGTGCGTGTGCTTGTGTGTGTGTGTGTGTGTGTGTGTGTGTGTGTGTGTGTGTGTGTGTGTGTGTGTGTGTGTGTGTGTGTGTTACCTGTGTCGATATGTTGCAGGCTGTTGCTGCTCAGGTTGAGCAGCTTGAGGTCTTTGGACAGCAGGAACTGTTTGGGCCTGAGATGTTTGATGGTGTTTCGGGACAGATCCATCTTCACCAGGTCGGACGGCAGGTCAGATGGGATGTTATTCAAATCTGCAAAGAAGAAAAAAAAGCCAGACTTAGATAAGTTCTCGTGAACTGGAAAATCAACTTTATCGCCGTGTTTTTGCAAAGATTTTGAAGTCCTGCTGCTTCACAGGATCGAGGCAGATGTGCACCACTAAAGTGCAAAACTCCAGAAGCTTAAAATCCTATTAGTTTGCATCTTTACACATTTTCAAGATGTTGTGTGGGTTGTGTGCAACATTTAACTTTTTCAAGATGGAGTCGAGTGTGACAGCATGCACAGTATTTCTCTCCTGTGCCAGGGCGAGTGTGTGTTTCTTATATCTTCCCGTGTTTTCAGCCTCACACACATTTCCCAACATCTCACCCTAATGTATGTAACAGCAATTTCTACATGTTCCCGTGTCGATAACAGATCCTCTCTGGAGTCCCAGACTAGAACACATTTCCCGAATGCTATTCAATCATCCTGTTGAGATGGCTAGAATAAAGGTTTATGACTGTCAACACAATTGTCTCAAAGATAATAACAGAGCTTGAATCTACATCATTTGGGGACAAATCGATCCAGATTCAAGCTACGACCCATCATTCCACATTTCTACTTTTGGCAGTAGCGATAAACCTTTTCAAGTAAGAAACAATAAGAGAAAAAGAGCAATTTTTATGGATTTTAAATTGCCTCCCACAGTCTTTAAACTCGTTTCACCTGCAGTGTCAATTTGTCTGAACCGGAGCTCACATCTGCCGTGCCATGGCACACTTCTGTTTAAAACTGAGGATGAAAATAAACATATGGTGATTGTTTTTTAAGCGTTTCGTAGGGGTTGCAGATGAGAGGAAACACACGTGGGTGGCATGCGCTTAGATGTTTATTTTGATGGAAAATCACTGATTTGTCTTCTAAATTAAGAGAAAAAGACTATGTGATACGTATGTAAGCGATTGAGCATCCATGCGTACAAGGGTTAGAACGAGTTTCCTGCATGTGTTTTTTTACACAGACTGTACCACTAAGAATTCTCGTGGTACTTTTATAGAGCAGATGTCACCGTCTTTATGCAGTTTACTGCCGCAGATGTAGTTAGTTACAAAGGAGGGGGCATGGTGCCATTAATCAACACTGACTGGAAGATAATATAATTACACTCAGAGGACACACAGCGTGAACAGAGATGTAGCCAAGGCACTGAGGAAATGTACTTATTCTTGTAGTCATGTAAGGCCTACAAAAGCCCTTAATGGTGAGGCACCATCCTATCTTAAAGAGCTCATAGTACCCAACTGCCCCACTGAGGGGAATTGCGTTCCCAGAATGCAGCACGGTTATTAGTGGTTCTACATGTATGTCTGGATCATGAGTTGTTGTTTTTTGGTGGCACTTAGATAGATTGTTGACATCCACTTGGACTCTTTATCTTTTCTAACATTTGGACTGTCTTTATTGTAAGTTTATTATCCTTTTAAATCTTCACACTGGACACCAGGGCCGGCCCTTGGAACAGGCAGTATAGGCGAATGCTAAGGGCGCATCAATCAATGGGGGGTGCCAAAAATCTTCTTTTTTTTTTTAAAAGTTAGAATTTTTCATTTTTTTTTTTATTTCATAACAACATAATTTCCCGATTTTGGATCAACAAAGTACATCTTATTATCTTATACTAACAGAACTACGCCTATATTGGGTACAGCGCCCATAAACTATGGCGCACCCCCCCCCCAAATCAAGTTGAACTGCCCCAGCCCCAGTAAAAACCAGAGGTTTATGTGAAATAGTTCTT